CATTAGATTCAGGTTTATCATGATGAGTCATGAGTTAAGGGGCCATCCATAAATGACGTCACGCAAATTTTGCCGATCTTGTACCCCCCTCACCCCATCGTCAAAAAAGGTAGCCACCCCCCCCCTCAAATTATATTACTCACAAATCACTACCCCCTCCCCTCCTATAAAAATTATGTGTGTCAACTACTGTCCTTCACAAACCCTTAAGAAATTCACTTCCCATTGATATCAAATCACTGCACCTGTGTCAGAAACATTTCACTAGATCAGTGGTCCTTAACCAGGGGTAAAAGTACCTCCCCAGCCCTGGGGTGCAGAAGACCAGAAATTGGTATTTGCTGCCATTGCTAGTTGTTGCTACTTTTACTTTTACACACACACAAATGAGTTTTTATTGATTAGAAGCAGTAAATATTTTCTAGTGAATTTTGTTTGTGCATTACTTGTATTGTTAATTTTTTCCTTGTTTATAAAAAGTTAATTAAAGAAATAAAACTAAGTCAATTAAATTATTTAATTATTTTCAATTTTATTACAATATAATTTATACAGTTGGGGGGGGAGGGGGGTATGTTTAAAGGGGTGTAGCGCTGCAAAATGTTCAATAATCCCTGCCCTAGAGCATTTACTAAGATCACCCCCACCACCCCAGGTCAACCCTCCTTTTCTAGTTCCATCCCTTTTCACGTGATAGTCTTACTTTTTTCTCTGGTTCCTGCCCTTCTTATCTTACTGAACTTCTTACGGTCTATTCACCTCTTCGAAACCTTCGTTTCTCCGCAGGCGCACATATTCTTTCTGTTCCAAGAACACGCACTAAAACATATGATGAATGATCTTTCTCTTTCTGCGCCCAGAGACAATGGAATTCTCTCCCACTACACATCCGCAATATACCAACCATACATGCCTTCAAAACTGCACTCAAAACACATCTCTGTAAACTCTAGTATCCCAACTGATTCCCCCCAATTGCCGATAAACGATGCTCTTTGTTGCTGTCCATGGCTCGACATGTAAAAGTTCTGGGGTGGATGGTGTGAATATACATTTGTTTTGTTGTTATATAGCTGTTTTTTTAATTAAATAAATGTATGTTATTTTTTAATGTCATGATTATGTTTCCTAATAATTTGATGTAGAGTGCGGTGAGTCCAGCCCTAGTTTGTTATAAGTTTGTGTAGAAGCCTGTTGTCGAGTATATAAAATAAACTGTAAAAGTATGCTATCCGGTTCGCCTCTGTTCATGTGTTTTTGCACTACTTTTTTTTTTTTTGATGCCATGAAGTTTCCTGTCTTAGCAAAAAAGTTAACAGCTGGGTCAACAAAAGCAGTGTAAAAAGACAGTATAAAAATGTGGAGGGAAAAGGGAGAGCATATGTTTTATTTACTTATCGACACAAATGAAAAATTAGAGAAATAGTATCATTCTGCCTAACATGAATGCTAAATGTCCTGAGCGCGAAAGTCAGTATTCATAACTCAATAACTCAGTATCCCTAACTCTAGCATAATTTTCAAACCTACATTTAGTCCCACCTAACTCAAGTGTAATCTTCAAACCTAAATATAGTGCCCCTATTTCAAACATAATCTTCAAACCTAAATTAAGTCCCTGCTAACTCAAGCGTTAATCTTCAAAACTAAAAGCTATGACCTAATGTTAACCTTAAAATCACGTTTGTGTACTACAGCTATTCACTGTAAATTGAGAAAATAAAAATATTTTTTTTAAATTTTAAATATTCAAAATAATGAAAACGGAACTTACAGTTTCATCAAATTCACACTTTATGACAGGTTCCATCGAAAATAAAAATCCAAAGAATGTCAGAAAATTCAAAATCCAATTTTCCCACAACATTGGCAGATAGCCTCCTTTTGACATATTATAATTAACCTTGCTATGAAATATTAATTAAAAAAGCCATCAATCAAAAACATACCATTGGCGTATTATGATAAAAAAAAAGAGATAAGTTGGCTCTTAGTAACAATCTGCGACTAAACAAAAGGGAGTTCATTTATCCACAGAAACTCAGGGGACCTGTTAAGCCTAAGTTTACCAAATAAACTAATGTAAATATGGATTTGGGAAATATTTTGTTTTCTGTTTTTTTTGGACTCTATTGAAAATTTATTGACTTTGTGTTGTTTTTTTTTTTTTATTTCACAGAGGAACTAATCATAATTTTCTTTGTTAAAGTCTAAAAATGGACATTTTGTGCATTGCTTTTTGGAAAACTACAGAAAAGCAGCATTAACTTATTTAAGCAAATGAAGGAATGAACTCTGAAAATGTTTCCCCTGTAATGCCATCTAGCTCAGTGTGTGTGCATATCAACAATGCCAAACTAGCAAGAAAACAAAATGCAAGTTCAACATCATTCCATAAGAGAATTGTAAGTGCAAATACATTGTTCATTGTACTAAAATTTGTACTTATAAATTTAAAATTTAAATGGTAGTATACACAAATGATGTTCATATATTGAATCTTTGTACATATTCATTTCATAATAGACGTTAGAAAGCATACTACTGAAACTAAAATTTCACATTATAATATTTAAAATTTTGCAAATATGCTATAGTAATTTTTTTTAAATATCATTTTACTCATTCATTGCAATCGGCCACTAATTACATTTCTAATTTCTACTCAATCCCAAAAAAGTGGTAAAGTTTTTTTGAAAAGAAAATAGAAATTCAAATGCTTAAATTTAAATATTGATTTTAAACATGTTAAGTATCTCGTTGTTTTTTTTACCTTAACTTTTTTTTATCTTGCCTTTTCTAATCTAATATTATTTACGTTCAATAGAATGATAGTAAAATATATTGCTGGTAAATTGTGTTGTTTTTTTTTTCCCTTTCAGTCGAGTAGTTCTTCCATTATCAGTGAATGAGGTTATTTCACTTAACATTTAAAATTAATTTTCATATTTTAAATAAAATTCATTTAGTTTCTTAAAATTAAATTCTTTTAGCCCTTTTTTATTTTCAATTTTATTTTACCTCATATTTGACTGTAATTATTCTCTTTCATTAAATAATTGCCATCAGCATTCTTAATGTTATGTTAAAATATTTTCCATAGTATGTATGAAAGTTATTTTTGACTAGTAAAATTATGGAGTACTTATTTCAAAACTTATTTTACTTAGACAATACTCTTAAGAAATGTTTTCCTAAAGTCAGTCATCCCTTTAAATAAAATCCAGTCAATAGTGCTTTTTTAGTAAGGGGCCATCCATTTAGCATGTATGCAAAAAAGTCAAATTTTCTATTCCCCCCTTTCCCGGGCATACTTTTTGGTTTGGAACCCTCCCCAATGCATATGTACAATAAGCTTTCGACGCCCTGTCCCCCAGAAAGAAAAAAAGCCCACCGAAAATAATTTATAGATTAATATGATGTCACAGAAATAATCAAAGAATGTGTCACGGGTTCACAACCCAGACCGTTTGGCCAGCCCAGTGGTTCCCATAATATACGTGTTGCGCTAAGTGCCACATTGCTCTATGTCAAAGCCATGAGAAGGGGCAAAGAGGGCAGTCACATGGGTGCCAAAATCATCTTTAGATGAAGGACCTTAATGGCAAATTAAATATAAAATACCATATACTTCAGAAAGACAAGGGGAGCCAAAACTCGTCTTTTTACTGGTCCGCTCCAGGGGGCACTTCTTCTGTTTAATAAGTGGAACCATTTTCCAGCTTCACTCTAAGTACTGCATTTCCTTGGCATTACCCAGTCCTGGGTTGCCTTGGCTGTCTCATAAGGGCACTGTGAAATATTATCAAACAATTGGATCAAACACTTTAGAAACTACTGTTTTGTTTACATTTACTGGATGACACTTAGTGACCTAAATACGTTTTTATTCACTTTTACCAAACACTTTATTTTATTTTATTTCTTATTCACTATTTCAAATTGTATTTGTTAGAATTTAACAAAGGGGGCCCGGTGAAAACCTAAATTTTGCAATATCACCGGAAATAGAAAAAATTTAGGGATCCACTGGCATAGCCTGGGAGAGAGAATTTGTCGCACTCACATTGAACATAAAGTGGACAAAATATTGCTGTAACACTGCTATGACTGAGTTCTATTTGAGTGATATCTAGCGAGTTCATTTGTGAAAACAGTCAATATTATGACAATTATTCCTAAAAAGCATATCATGATATAATAGCAGCAATAGAGATATAAACGTGCTTTTCTATTTTGTTTTTTTTTCTCTTTTTTTTTTTTTTTTTTTTTTTTTTTTTTTTTTTTTTCACTTAGAGACTCATAATGATTGTTGTAGAATTTTTGAATAAATGTATATACTTTTTCCGAGACCCCCCTCCCAATAAAAACCCAACAAAAAACAACAAACATGCACACATACGCAAAATCTCCAAAATAATAAAAACTCCCCCTTCAGCGCTTACGTATTATATGGATGTTCCCTTATGGGAAGTAGGTTAACAAGTGAGGAAGCTTTGACATCACAGGCTAATTATTTGATGTAGATTTCATAGTTTTGACCGATTGTATTTAGATTTAACTTACAAGGTGGCCCAAAAGGAGTGAGAACATCTCAAAGGGCTGTTAATATAATGGAATATTATAATTTTTTTTCATTTACAGTTGTATGCCATGTAATACCCTGATCAAAAAACATGTTCAATATGCCACCCACTGCTTCTAAATTATTTGTTTGTAAGTGCTGGCACCACTCGTTTATGGCTCGGTCAATAAAGCGATGTTATCACTTTTTTGGGCCACTCTCTATGTGTTCTGATTTTCTTTTAATAAAATATGTTTTATATGAATGTGTTTCATTTTGGCAAATGAATCAGTGTATCAATAAAAAAAATTAAACAAAGAAGTTTGAAGGGATATTATTTATTATAATCTAAACAATATTACTGATGCATTTTTTTATTTTCCAGTACCAAGTGGGGCAGCTTTGGTCAATTGCCCAAACCAGTAAAAATGAAACAGGTGGGGGTGAAGGTGTAGAGGTTTTGATAAATCAACCTTTTGACACTTTAAATTATGTGCCAAGCCCGAAACTTTATGCAAATGGAAGGAATTTTGTTACTGGCCAGTTTACACACAAAATTTACCATCTAGTTGAGTAAGTTTCTTAAAAATTTATCACAATTTAAATCTTCTTCAGAGCTTCTTCAGTCAGAATCGTAAAATTCTAATTTATAGGCAGCTATAAAAGTAATAAAATCTTTGTTTTTCTTTTTAAAAATTTTCCCTCCAGCATTAGCATCTAGCAAGAGTGGAAAGAATTAGTTCTACTTTTTAGTATTGATTAAAAGAAGAATTTTATCCATTTTGGATCTCTGTAAATCTGTAGGTCATGGAATTCAATTATTTAAACAATGTATTTAAGGGTTAAAACAATTTTTTAAATATCTCATTGGGCACTCCAAGGTTTTAGCTATCAGTAATTTCACATTCTAGTTAACTTAAACAATATGTATTAATTTTTTAGCTGATCTTTTTAATTTAAGGAAAGCACCATCTTTTGTCAAATTGATGGCACCAAAGGGTTCAATGAAAATACATGAACTGTCTTGGAATGCCTACCCTTACTCTCGTACAATTCTAACTGTGAGTTTTGCATTTAAAATTTTATTAAAAAATAGACTATGCTTTCTATTTTTTCAATAGAACTTTTTTTTTTTAAAAAAAAAAAGCTTAATATATGTCCATCTAATGGACGTTTGGTGAATTTAAATGGAATTTTATCAATCATATTTATCATAATTGTTCAATCATCAATGACTTTATAGTTGAATTTCACTATAGTTATTTGTTGCTCTTAATTCAAAGCATTATTTGAATCTTCACAATTTCACAACCGTTCATTCTCAGTTGATATAAATATGCAGAGTTTAAAACTGTTAGACCGTTAGATTTCTGATCATGGCTAATAAAATAGAGATTCATGGCGTATAGTCACACACAGAGTTTAAATATTCTTTTTTTTTTAATATCATTTTAGTGTGATTAGCTTTATGTTTTGCAGAAATATCTTTTTTATTTATTAATTTATAATTGGATTCTTTTTTAATTAATAATTTTCAGAATCCAGATTATATGAAGGACAAGTTTTATGTGATTATTGAATCCTATCATGCAGCAGACAGAGGAAATGCCCACAATGTAGGTTACTGACAAAATGTATTTTAAATCAGCTTTTAAAAAAAAATGTTTTGTTTACTTTATGATATGCATATTAAATAAACCCTGGGCGCCATGTAATACATGTAATAACATAAGTAAGATTATTTTATTGATGAAAATAAATGGAAAATTTTTTTGATTACCGGTACCATAAACATATTCATTTTCAGCAAATAAATAAATACATCTAATCTGTTAACAAAGACATCATTTTACAATTTAGATCAATTTTTTTTGTTGATGCCCTAAAAGAATGTTGATTTGGAGTTTAAATTCTTATTTTCATAGTGATAAGAATTTCATATCTGAATTTAATATTCGCACAATTTTCAGAGGGAAAAAAGAATTAGTGACATCATTCCTTAGTTAATTTTTATCTGCCTTTGACAGCAATACATTTCATGCCTGATAAAGAGACACCATTTATCCCGACATTTTCTTTGTTTCCCCAAGGGCCTATGATATTGTCTCCCCAGAATTAGATTCAAGTAAAGCAAAGCTGAATCTTAATTTGAAATTATTTGACCCTAAACACATTTGAATCAACTGCTTTTCTTATCCATAAGTGGGAAAGTATGGTAGTTGTGCTGGGAACTGTATGAACCATGTAACTTTTGACTTTTTTTAAAATAGATTCTTGGTCTGGAGGGACGAGATTTAAGCCATCGGCAGATTGTTTTGATTGATATTGCAAATGATAAAGTGTCAAATGGGGTAAGTTGATCAAAGGGTATTAAACAGTGCTGTAAATTACCAAAATAAAAATCTGCATAAAGCTGCAAGCAAAAAAATGTAGAAATAAATTTTGAAAAAATAGTTAACTTTCTGTAACAGTGTATAAAAACACATGTTAGAAATGTGAAATGTAGTCTATTTGTTGATTAACCTTTATCGTTATGGGGCCATCCATACATGACATCAAGCAAATTTAGCAGATTTTTACACACACACACACACCCTGGAAGTTAATTACAGACCTGTTTACTCGTACGATTTTGGCGTACAATGTACTATTTTGAGATGTATACAATATACTGCATGTTTATTTTTTTACTATCAAGATAATGTATTGAACGATTTTGTGATGATATTGTACGCTTTTGAGAGTTTGGGGGTAAACAGGTCTGTAATTAAACAAAGAAAACTACAATACCTAAATTATTTTCATTTTAAAAAAAATTGTTTACAATATAATTGTAATTTATACGGGGATTGGGGGAAATGTTTTGATATTGAAAGGGGATGCAATGCAGCAGGTTAAGAATCCCTACCATAGCACATTTACTAAGCTCAACCCCACCCACCCACAGTTAACCATTTTTTTCATTTCATCTCACTTCAAATGGAAGCCACAACTCTATGACTTCCGTCTCACATTTTGACATAAATTTTTCATTACTGTCAAACACACTGTATCCTGATCCTCGTCTGTAGCATCCTGTAACTTGATCAGGTGCCATTTCTCAGACCTCGCATACCTGTACTGTTCTCTCAGTGACTGTAGTTTTTTAAAAAAAATTATAATTTTTGCATAAAAGAATATTGTTAAAATGTCTGTATTTAGTGTTATTTAGTGTATTTTTTTCCAAGAATGTTTAGCTTTTAATGTGACGTCACTTTGCTTAACCCCTCATCACATATTGTGTGACAACCCCCTTCACCCAACGCCTAATGTCATTTTGGATCGCCCCTATAAAAAATATAATGATTACTTTGGACTGGACTTGAAGGCGATCATCAACAGCCTCTCAGTCTCTGGTCACTTTTGTAGGGAAAACTATTTGGATTATTGTCACTGCATAATTTCTTTGTAAATAATACCAGAGGCGAAGTGGTTCACATAGTGACTGATATTTTATTATCCACATTCACAATAAGAAATACATTTCACAAAAATCCGAAAGCACTTGGAAATTATATAACATGAATTTCACTTACTAACCTCTAGATAAAATAATCTTCTTTACTTGAAATATGTATCAAAACAAAATAAATCTTTATTACAACATCAATTTTGTCAAAACAAACCATTAAACTCCCATTTCTGATTGGCCAGTTTCTCCCCAAAGTCCCAACACTCTATATGTTATATAATAAATATTTACCATCTTACTTATCTCCCATTATTATTCAAATTTATATCTTTGACAGTTATATTTTAATCAATGTCACAGTGGTTACATCACAGGTTATTGTCCTAAAGAAAAATAAACAGCAAGAGGGCTAAGAATTGTTTTTGTAGCATTCCTCGCTTAAAAGAGATTTGAATCATAGGGCCCTTTTATACATTTTAAGGGGATCTATCTTATTTATTTATTTAGGCATTTTTATATAGCGCTTACCATAAAGCTCTAAGCGCTTTACAATTATTAAAAACATGTAAACTAACTACAGTAAAAATGAGACATTAGGATAGTAACTACTATACTATAGAAACAATTAAAATGGCTATAAAACGAGGACACTTTGGCACGTTTTGGCCTATATTACAGGATTAACCCGAGACAGAAAATGAGGCAGGGCAAGGAGGGTGCATCACAGGTCATAGGCGGACCTAAACAGATGGGTTTTAAGGGACTTTTTAAAAGTGGACGAGGTTTCACAATGACGGATATGGAAGGGGAGCTGGTTCCAGAACGTGGGCCCATGGAAGTAGAAGGAGCGTTCACCGATGGTCTTAGTTTTGGTTCTTGGGATTGAGAGGGTTCTATTGTCAATGGAAGAGCGTAGTTGTCTTGTGGGGATGTAAGGAAGCAACAGTTCAGAGAGATAGACAGGAAAGTGAGGGTCAGTGAACGAGTTGTTTATGATATATATTAACCACTAAGTTTGGATCCCTTACAGCACTTGCTGCAATCAATTTTTGTTTGCTTGGCGTTAACTTATTTCTGAATGGGTTCCCTTTAGGTTAAGATGTCAACCAGTAATAAATGTTGAGGAATTTACAAAAATTGTTTTTTTTTTTTATACTTTTCTCTTTTAAAATTTAGGACTATAACCCTGAATGGGATCCATGTTTGGTCGGGTCTGAGAGGGCCAAAAGACCCCCTTTACCAAATGATAAAACTGGTGACTGGATGGTATGTACTTTCATGATTCATTAGATTATTTTTTTTTAAATGAAGAATCAAGACTGAGAGATTGTCAGCATTAGGGAAAGTTATTAATACAATTATATATATTTTAGCATTATCTAAAATAAAATTTAAAAAAACTAACAATCTAAATTTAATATATTATCACAAAATCTTTATGGTGGATGTATTTATGTTTTGAAGAAAAAGGTTAAAGAAATATACAAGTGTGGTTTCCATTATAATTTATTATCTAGATCTGTTTGCAAGAACAGTTTTATACAATTAATCTGAAACAAAACTCATTTTGTTTGAATATGGCCCATATTCTGTGTTTTATTTCTGATAATTCAGAATGAAATCCATCCTGTCATGTGCTGCTACAAAGTGGTCAAAGTTTGGTTCAAGTGGTTTGGTTTACAAAAGAGAATGGAAAATTTTATACTCTCGGTCAGTTTGATTTTATTACAATAATTTTACAACCATTATTGCTCAAAATATCATTCTATGGATCATTTATTCAAAACTACTTTTTTGCTAAAACTGATATTTTAATTATTTGTTAACTTGCATGTTATTAGCATTAAATGTAGTTGTTACAATGCTGTGAATTTTCATTAAATGTAAATATAAGTTTTATGTGTTGTTTTCTGCATTTACTGAGAGCCCTGGTACTCAACCCTTTGGTCACAACCTCAGTTGGGGTTGCAAAAGATTTTCTGTGGGGTCAGCAGCTAAATTTTAATTTAAAAAAAAAATATATATATATTAAAGTGATTATCAAATTAATTGTTGTTTGAAAGTGTGAATACTCCCTTAAACAATGCATTCCATTTTTCTTTCAGCAAGAGAGGCGATTATTTTTGAATTTTCACCGCCAAGTGGTATGCTGGCAAGATCACTACTATGGCATGACTTTGCAAGATATCAGGAGGTTGGAGGAGGAAGTTTCAAAGGAACTTGAAAAGGTAGGAGACGTGCATCTTGTTTTTTAATGGATGATATAATCTTTTCTCAACATTAGCGTACATCAAACATCATCAAGATGCTTTAAAAAAAACTTGGTAAGTTAAGTTGTAAAAAAAAAAAAGGAATGTATAATTTTCCTGATTTCAATAACCTTGAACTTAAAACCTTGCCCACAAATAAATGTGTAAAATAACTTTATAACTGCTATTATTAGGCAAGGGGCAGCACTATATTAACTGTATGACTGACTGTTCACAAAATAATTTTTTTTACTTATAAACTGTAAACGTACTAGTGGACCATTTGTTAACATTTTGATTTTTTCTTATTCTTCTATTCAAAATATCAAAAGATATTAATGTTGCTTAAGGTCACAAATCAAATTAATTTACATCTTTGAAAAAATTTCAGTCATTTGTTGTTGTTTTTTTTCCAGCAACGAAGTGAAGGTCCCTTGCGCGGAACTGCCCTGACAGATGACTCTTAAGGTAGGGGAGATAATTTCCCCTGATGGAAATTTGAAATAAAAAAAAAGCTCTGATTAAAAAAATGTTTGTTTCTTGAGTCTTATTATTGGAAAATTACTCTAAACTAACCTAGTTTATAGGCTATGATATTATAGTAAGTAATATATCATCACTTTCAATGCCCAGTATTTCACTACTTGGACTTTTTATCTATGATTTTTGCCAGACTTTAACGCCCTATATTCAGACAAAGAAAACTAAGAAAGACCTGCAAATATTTTTCAAAGCTAAAGGTCACATCCACAAATATATTATTCAGGAATTGCATACTAAGTCTTGTCAGTCAAAAAAAACAACAACATCCTAATGTGTCTTTCAGGGTTAAATTACACTCTTGAGCTAAAGAAGTTAATCCCATAAATAATGCAGGAGGTTAACTATTTGTTTTATGGTGTCCGTCCCCCCTCCACTTCTTTCCCCTCACCCCATAACACAAAAATGACATTTTCTCATGTGCAAATACTTCTTTATATTTCTCTTAATCTTTTTGTCATCCATATATAAGACAATTTGTTTTTAAAAATTACAATGTTTGAATTATGTTTAATTGCTGGTGTAATTATTTGTTTATTTCCTGTGCCAGGCATTCAACAAATTAATTTCTAGAAATTGAGATGGAAAACAAACCAGTCACATTCTGTTTAGCAGGAATACAGAAATCTATCAATACGTTAAAGATGAAAGATGAAAAAAAAATATTTTTAAAAATTGAAATATAATAATATGAAACATTCTAATTTTATTTTTTTCAAATGTTGGTATTAAGTGAATACTTTCTTTTTGTACCTAGGTTTGTTTACCAAAGTGTGCTATTCTTTAGTGATGCAACACATCTAGACGTGCCATTCTTTAGTGATTCAACACATCTTGATGTGCTATTCTTTAGTGATGCAACACATCTAGACGTGCCATTCTTTAGTGATTCAACACATCTTGATGTGCTATTCTTTAGTGATTCAACACATCCAGATGTGGTATTCTTTAATCAGTCAACACCACACTGTTTCTCCCAATATTTTTCTTATGTATCAGATATTTGGTCTATCAAAGGAATTTTTTTAAAGCTTTCTTACCCGTCTGGTTTTGAAGGATAATCACAATAAATTCAGTTTGTCCCATATTAACCATGCTCATCAGCGTGCTTAAACTGATAAAACACAAGAGAATAGCTCAAAAACTTTAGTTAGTACAATAATCTAACTTGTGTAAGGCACCACTCATTATATTTATTCAGGATAGTAATATATCTTTTCAAAGTTTTATACCATCTCTAGCCACACCTTTCCAGGTATGTACAAACCCCCCCCCCCCTAATTTTTAAATTGTAAAAACCCCTCTAATGAATGATACCATAGTTGAAACCAAGACTGGTAGGTCTTTTTCCCCCCAACATTTCAATTAAAAAAAATTCCTTTTAATTGCAAAAATATGGTAAGGATAATTTCCCTTTGAGCTATTTATATCTTGTATTGTGGTTTTTAAGAGCTTTTATTGGGTTACTAGTAAAGAACAGTAATAAACATTAAAAGTTGTTGTTTTTTTAACTCTTAACCATTGTTAGCCCTTGTACTGCTTGAAATTGTATTTACAATATTTTCTAATGAATTTTTATACTTTTTTTTTATGATCATAATAAAACCACTCAGCCTAATTCCTAGTTGCTTATTCATTTTTAGTAAACTTTAATGGTCACCTCAGTGTATTTATAAATTCAGTTTTCAGCAAGCACATTGTTATGTCAAGAGTGTAATAGAACCAATGTATGTTGAAGCTTGAAATGAAGAGACAGGACCAGCAAAGTCAAAATATGTTAAGTCTATTGCGTTAAGTCAAGCTATATTATGAGTGGATCATTTTGGTCCTACTATTTCTGAGACTCCTTATTTTACCAGAAATATTTAACTGTATGATGTCATCCTTCAGTTGGTTTATTATTTTTTTTGTTTGTGTTTCTATTTATATCTCTTAATAGATAAATAATATAATTTATAACCTATTGTCTTGTAGTAGTCTTCAACCTTAATGCAAAGAACACACTGAGTGATCATTTTTAACAAAAACTGATTGACACTATCAGAATTTTAGAAATATTTAACATACAATGTTACTCTTTACTGTAATGGAGAAGGACATATTAACTGCCCATAAGGACCACATTTACATCTTTTACAGGTCAGGTGCCCCTGTCTAATACAACGTACCCAAAGTGTTATTTTGAGAGCTCAGAAGTTTATTACACTGCAGTGATCATTTAACTGCTCACACCAACATGATGCATTAAACAGCCTTAAATCAAATATTGCATTAGATATTCCAATTATAAATATTCCATGGAGGTAGCACTATAGTATTTTTTTTTAAAGTTTATCTATATGCTTGCTAGCAACCTCTAGATCAGTTGTGGATTGTTTTTTTCAAAATGTCAACTTTTCTACCTAATAGCCTTTATTTATTTGAGGAGAAAAAAATTGAACCTTCCAAGAGTTATGTTTGCCGCTCTGTTCTTTATTTTAAAATGACTGTGCATGTATTTACTAAATTCCCCTGCCTCGATGTAACGCACAGATCGCGTATATTATTAATATTAAGGTAGTTTTTATATTGTGCAGTATACATATTTTTTTAAACACCACATGCCTTGACGTTTGTGTAATCGATTTCAACACATGCGATGCTGGCAATGATAACCACGCTCGGGGCCGGCGTTAGGCCACTGCAACCTGTGCGGCCGCAGTGGGCCCCGCACTTTATTTTCTAATACAAAATCTCATTTTTCACGTATTATCCTTAATCCCTACCCAGACTGGGCCCCCGCGCAATCCGTGTCGCATAGCCCCCCCCCCCCCCCCGTTGTTAGGGCCGGCCCCGACCACCCACCCCCCCCCCCCCCACACACCCCCCC